GGGCGAGCGACTGGAGATATCCAAATCTTGTAAAACCAACCTTCAGGAGGACGTGTGTGAACGCCCCGCCAAAAGAGCAATCCTGATCACCATCATGCCAGCATGGCTTTATGGAAGCCGGAAGCGGCCTGGAGCAAGAAGCAAGGTGTAGAACAAGATATCGGCGAGCGAAACCTTGCCACCCACCAAGAAAGGTCCTGGTCCAGGAGGAAGCGACTTCTCTGCCAGTGCGCACCAGTTAGGCAAGTCCTGGACAAGAGAGTGCGTTGCCATGTGCGCCCAAATGCCAAAAGTTGAAAAAACAAGCGCACACACACACACACCCACCTGTACCTTCAATGGGGTGTCCAATGGAGGTCCCTTAGTGTAGGGGCTTCCAGCCAGGTGACCGCTTGCAGGTGTTGCGTGGCGGTATGGCGGGGTATGGCGGGGTGGTGCTGGATCGTGCGTCACCTGAGGAACCTTGGAACCACGCAGACATCGGCCGAGTTGGATGTGCCAATGACCTGAGAAACTCCAGTCAAATCGGGGAGAAGAACTGACGCATCTGGTGGAAGAAATTGAAGAAATTGAACGTCCTGTACTTTATATATATAATCTATATACTATTCATATCAGTGAGTTGAATATGCTTAAAGCTTGCATTTACTAAACATACCCTGGAGACACTGTACATGATCATAATGACCATCTGTTTGTGCACTTCTGTCCTCGGCAAACCACTTGTCCATACCAGCCTTCTTGGCCTCCTCATCTTGAAGGCCGCGGACCTTCTGGTAGGCGTCCTCATGTGGGAGAAGCTCGACCAACCGAGGGAACAAACTTCCAATCCTCCCACGCTCACGCGAAAGCGCGTTGGGGTGGTTGATTGGCCATCCACCGCCCGAAGGAGGAGCCCTGAGGACCCAAGCACATCTTCAAAGAACCCATCGATGGGATGGCAGGTAAGGGTTCCAGTGCCCATGCACGGGGAGCCGTGCATACGCGGCACCCAGTATGTGGTGTTTCACTATCCGCATCTAGCCACGCGAATCCGAATCCAACCACTCCAGGCACGCAATCCAGACTCAAATAGCTTCTTTTGATCCTGATGCCGCCCACATATTGGTGAACTGGTAGATATTTGGATCAACCTCTTCGAGCAATCTGGCCAAGTTTTCTCAAATGGAATGTTTGAAAACCACCTGTATGCCTTTCATCCACCGATTTCGGGTCCCGAAACAGCTCCAAGTTTCTAGCGGCTGAGTTTGCATTGGTTTCTCACCGGAAAAGAAAGCTCAAGCTTTTCCTACGTGTTCTTCTTCAGTGGGGTCATCACTCCCCCCCAAAAGGGTGATTTCTCTTATCCGCTGGCAGGGTATGACTTGTCTTTGGACAACCCCTTCTTGTGGCCTAAGAAGCATCTTTGTAGCCGGACACTTGGGATCTGGAAGAACTCCAGATCCCACCTGCGGCTTTGGAATCGGCCTCACCCGCCGAACCCGTGCGGTGCATGGACCGACGAACCGCTCTTGGACCCGCTGGACCCGGTGTTCCTTGATGTCACGCACCGTCTCGCCCAGCTGATCCACTTGCGCGGCCTGGCGCTGGAGTGGCAGGTCGGCCGCGGGCAAACACCGCGTTGGGGAGGAAGAAGCCCTGGGACTGACACGTTTGGACCTACTACATCGGGTGGTTTCAGGGTCAATGTAGCACTAAGCCTTCCGAATGTCAGGTAAGAGCTTGAACTCCCGAACTCGTGCGTGGCTGTATTGTCGGTATTCTGGATAACGGTTCTGCCACTTTTAGGCCTCCCAGGCTGCCAGGTCCATACGCTGGAAAAATGAGATGCGCAAGAAACGGTGCCTCACTCATGAAACCAGTTTCCGTGCGGGCAGAGTAGGCCTTGACCTCATTATAACCCTTGTCATACCCTATTGCACAAGGCACTTTACTTGATCACTTTTTACTTGTTATGTACCGTCCGGCCGACATCCTTTTGGCCAACCTGAGCATCGCGACCGGTCGCGCTGCACCCGATCGAATCGATGTGCGGCACCTCGACGCTGTTGCTGCCCATCATGCCCAACTCCTTGGCCAAAAAGCGCTCGATGGCTTTGGACTGGCCGATCTTGGCCCCATCCACCTGGACGCTTCAGCGGATCCATCGGCGGGTGCGGTGGAACCGTTTTGGGTGTGGGATGGTGCGGGGCTCGGTTTGAACATCTGCTCAACACATCTGCGACTCCCGCGGGGTTTGCCAGCCAGGCTGGTCCATTGAGGATCAGGGATGCTATGTCAGGTCATGTCAGGTCTGATAATGTCTTATATATTAAATTAGTCTTAGGATTCTGATGGTCTTTCATTTCGACTGTACTAGGCGATGCTAGAAATGGTATTTCCCTGGTTCCACCAGGTGCTTCCTGCTTCATGTCGCATGTCGGAGGCATTTTGTTCAGCACGCATTCCGGGCGACACTGCACCCCTTTCCACCCCCCATCTCAGTGATCTGTGCCCCGCAGACAGCCCAGCCCATGAATCTCTCCATTCACCGCCGACGTTTAAAAAAACCCAATCTCCCGCCTCCAAAAGAGGCACTTTGCCCAAAGAGGAGTCCAACCTTGGAAGAGTGCGACTTCCAGGAACTCGGATAAATAGAAAGACTAAGAACAAAAATTTCCCCAGGGAACCTATTTACATGTTGAAGAAGTGTTTTTTAAAGAAAACTTCTTCCAATATCTTCCCCATGTGGGATTGACATCTTCATATCGTCTCCATGCAAGGGGATTGACCCATGCCAAAAAGATTGACCCAGCTCGGAAAAATTACAAACATGCAAAACCAGGCAACTGTCCCGCCGCCTTCATCGCATCAAACTCAGGGCGCTTGATGGTGCCTCAGTCAGAGTCAAAGCGTCTTCCCGTCGCATTTGTCGCCGGCGAGGCGAAAAAAATCAATCGAAACGAGATCAATCGAAGCTATGGGGCGATTGCATCAACATCTTGACAAAAGTCTCTGAGACAATGTCCTACCCTACACACCGACTACACACCCAACCCCTATAAATTTGCAGGGTCTCAATCGGAACCTCGGGTATTCTTGTGATATAAGAAGCACCAAGTGTTTCTTAAAACCTCGGGTCTTGTTTTTTCTAACCCGTGCTAAACCCATATGATCCCATATGTAACCCGTACTAAACCAAGTTTAAACGGTACGTACATACCCGTACTAAACCCGCATTTTAGTACTGGCTTGGAAAACCTGGGGTTTCCTTCAGAAACCCTAAGTTTTCCATAGACCCTACATAATCTATAGTTTGGGTGCGTAGGGTATCTTGATAGATGCGACATCATGTTGGTGAAACAATTACCCATCTCGATCCCCATACCGGCCAGCGTGGGTTCCTCGAAATTCCAAGAGCGATGCAGAAAGCACCAACGAGCCGCATAAAGAAACACCATGAAAAACCCTAGGGATCCAGTCGTACCGAACCTCAGAAGGTACTTGGACCCTCAAAATCTACATGTGTCTCCAATCAGTTTCTGAGAAGGTACTTGCATCCCTAGGGGATTAAAGAGAGAGTCCATCCTGACCGAGTCGAGTCACACTGGGTTGGAAAAGTCCGGTCGAGTTCCGCCTCCCTGTTTGGGGAATATACCCTGCCGCCGGCCTGAACCGGCGCTCCCTCCTGCACCAGCTACAGCGGGGCGAGTTCTCAGTTCTGTGATCACGATTCCTGATCACCACACTGGACTCCATCCACCTCCTATCAAGCTGAAGATGTCAACTGCATCTAGGAAGAATCACCTGCCCTACCAGGTCAACAAGCTCCTTCCCCCAAAAATAACAAACACACACACAGCACAAAAAAAAAGAACATCACAAGTCATCATCAAATGTGTAGATCCTTCATAGCCTTTCCACCACCATATCATATCCCCCTTCAAACCCCCGTAGCATCTCGTCAGACCTGCAGCTCTCTCTCCCCGCCCCAGCCACTCACCCACCGAGGGGCTGAAGTCCCCGGGCGTGCCGAAGCTGAAGCTCAAGCGCACATCCTCGTAGCCTTGGAGATGTGGCCGCTCAGGGAGGATCAAAGCAGAGGCTCAGAGCAGCTCAGTCTTTTCCCTGTGGGCCTCCCACTGCAAAAAGAAACCACCTGGAGCTGAAGAAAAGTTGTCCTGTTTAAAGATTCACGTATGTAAGTGTAAATTTGGAGACCCCGAAAGGAAGGTGTTGGCAAATCTTGGATCTGAGTTGTCATCTCACTATTGCTGATTGCTAAGTTTGTTGAATACAACAACAACAACAACAACAACAACAACAACAACAACAACCACAACGACGACCACGACCACGACGACGACGACGACAACAACCACAACAACAACAACAACAACAACAACAACAAGAACAACAACAACTGCAACTACAACTACTGCTACTCCTACTCCTACTACTACTACTACTGCTACAACAACAACAACAACAACTACTACTACTACTACGACTACGACTACGACGACGACGACGACTACTACTACGACGACTACTACGACTACGGCTACAACTACTAGGGTCAACCAACCGATCAGGGGGGTTGGATCCACAGCCAGATGGCCAGCTCAGCCCTATCAGAACATCTGATCCCAAAAGACTGTTGGCAGCACGGAATGCCCTCCAGAGCCTTTTTTTCTTGGTAGGCTTTGCCCAAAGAGTTTTAAATGGATCTCAATGCATAACATAATTAATCCAACAACTCGTGATGAACAAGTTCTCCAACCTCCTTGTTGTTCGCACCAAGACTGAGCACAATTCTCTTCAGCAGAACTCTCCCTATAGCTTCTCTCTTGTGGGCACCAAGCCCCCCCCTCCAAAAAAGAAATAACACGTGATCTCTTCAATCCCAGGTCGCTCTGGCCCGCCGCAGCCAAGATCAAACGGGAGTTCTCAGCGAGGCCGCGGATGTCAAAGTAGGTGAGCCTGGAACGCGAGCGCCGTTGGATGGAGCGCCACGCGCGTGCACGCGACAACGACGGTGCGACGGTGGAGGGTTGGGTGAAGCGTTGCAGCATCTCTTCTATGCTGCGTCGTGGTGGTCGGCGTGTACGTTGGATGTGGTTCAGTGCCAAACACGCAAGCTGGTGGCATGGGGGGGTTGTGTCATGTTGGAACTCCGGGGGGGTTGTGTCTACATTGACCCCCCTGGCACCACACCAACTGATCGGCAGTCCTATGGCAGTCCCATGTGTCGTGTCTGGGTGTTTTTTTCAACCATCTACGAGTGAAAACATCCGGATCCAGGTGCAACGTAACAAGGCCCCACCAGGTCGAAGGCACCACTCCGGTCCCGGAGCTGCGAGTCACCGGGGGGCCCCGACTGAACGACCCATGTAAATATGACCGGCCTTCACCCTTGCATGACCAAAACCATCGAAACGGCCGTCCAAAAGAGGCTGCCAGGCTGCCTATCCCACTCGATGTATGCCAATTGTTGCCGATCAGTTGGGGTGGTTTCAGATGGTTTCAGGGGTCAATGCTGTTAATGTAGGCATGAAAATGCATGTATGCCGCATGCCTGGGGTTTATCCTAATGCCGTACCTGGGCCCAGTGGATGATGATGGTTTTCGTTGCAGGCCTTGTTCAAAGGCATGATGGATTCTTTGCTTGTTTACGGGTCCTGTTACAGGTCAGAACGGACAGACCCATGCGGCATGGTCTGCCAATCCGGGGTGGCCATGGTGCGGAACCCCACGGAGCTGACGTACCGAACGATCCGAGGCACCGAACGGACCCCGGGGATGAGCATGTAGTGAGTCGTGAGCAGTGAGCTGCCTCAAAGCACAATGAATCATGAGGTTGAACATGTATTTTCAAATATTTTCAAGGCTCCATCAGGTCGAAGGCGCTGCTGCTTGGGGGGCGGCTGCCCTCACAAACCAGTGGTTTCAAAGGTTCGATGACACAAACATGCACAGACCGCATGATGTCCTTAGGGGGTTTATATAGACTACCGACATTGGGGTCTGTGCCATTGGTCCTCTCAATCCACCTTGTCAGTGAGCAGTGTAGTGAGCTGCCCCCCATCGAATCTTCCGCGTTTTCCCCGCCCGGTTGGCGTCTTCTCGTGCTGTTGTTTTCTTTGCCAAGTCGAAGGCGCTTGTAGGATTTCTTGAGCATCTCGTTGGAGGAATCAGCGGTGCAAGCGCCACAGAAAAGATCCATCCAGGAGTCAATTGAGCCGGAGACACTGACGGGAGCAAAGCGGACCATGTAGTAAATAAACAGGAAAGGTGGGCACGAATTACTTGGAGAAAGCCATCAGGGTTTGCAATCAAGAAGAAACGAATCGCATAGTGGAGAACATACACCCTCCATCCAACAAACATGGAAGTGGAACTGACAGGGCAACGAAAGGAAGACTGTTTGTTGTTGTGTTTTAAAGGTCCACACTCTAGCTCATCCCCTCGACTGCAGGGGTGGGGTAGTGGCGCGCCTGTCCGCCCGGGGATTCGCATGAGGGATGCGTCATAGCCACTAGACCATACCGGCCCTCAAAGGAAAGACTGTTTTCTACAGTGCCCAAACACTGCATGAGACTGGCATATATTTACATCTCGTACAGACTGGGGTCGGGTGGTTGTTTAAAGGTCCATGGGTCCATATGCCAGTCCCATGTGTCGTGTTTGCTTCCTCAAATGGTATTTTGGACATATTTGGACCTCGAACCCACCCCAAACACCTTTTCAAAGGGTACTTGGAACACTAGGGGAGAGGTTAAGTGACCTCCTAGGACCCTACTAGGGTACCCAACTGGGCTGGTCGAACTAGGGTTCTTCAACCTGTGTTGGTATTCCAGGCCAACCTGACCTGGACAAGTTGACCAGTGTTGAACCTACCAGGTGGGCCATGGCTGCTCAAATTGTGGGAGGCTTGCAGGGCATGCATTATCCAATTATCTACCAACACCTTCAAAGGGGTCACGAATGGAAGATCCCTACACGAAACAGGTGGATCTCCGGTGTGCACCCCTTTGAAGCTCTAGGTGCTTCTGCTTTGGCTCGACTCTGTGTTTCACCCTGTCCGGCATCATGTGGCTTTTGGTCCTGAGATGGTGGAAACATGTGGACACCAGGCCCATCCAGGGCCCAGGGTGTAGCTGAAGCTCCAAAAGCACGAAGGACGGCACGACGTCTCGCACGATTCGATCCAACCAACCTACTAGGCCTTGCAGGCGCGCTCGGATCGATCCACATGTCGTAATCTGAGTGGTGCGGCTGTCTGTCTGGAAGGTTTCGGGTGGCGATCGATCCAAAGGATCTTTTGGGGACTCATTTCCTTGGACTTGCTGTCCGGGAACCTGGAACATATTCTCCAAAAGGGGATTGAACCATAGGGAAAGTTTAAAAAAAAAGACTCATTTTGGATCAGTTTGGTTCTTTTCCCCATCTTTTCCCGTCGGCAAAAAGGCATGCTCGGTCGGGACTGGTGACCCTGGTGGGCAAGCACCATCGAAGTGGTTGGCGCTTGTCACGGAGAACATCGGACGACACTTCTGATTGGCGGTCATCCAAGCACGCCCGACCAAACCGTAGACTCCTTGAAAATGCCGATCGAAAGGTCTTGGACTTGAAATCGATCTGCCCGCACCAGTCTTGGAGGATATCAATTATCAAGTGGTGACTCCTTTTTGGATCATACACAAGTTTGCCGAACAACTGCCTGGAATTGAGCCAGAACCAGCTGGGAGCAAGTTACCTGACCATCTGCCGCGTCTTTTTCTATCCTATAGCCTATAGGCAGGTGCTTCGATTACGAGGCTGACCGGTGCAAAAGCTGAAAGCGCAGTTGCCCAGATCATTCCCTCCGAAACAATTTTGGCCCCGCTTCAAAGGGGGTGCAATCTTGCCCAGGATGGTTGGATTTCGGGCTAGCAAACTAGCCCTGCTGTCAGTCTTCACAACAATGCTGCTTCGAACATCAGATCCTCAGTCTACAAAACATGCCTGATCGTCGCCATCTCCCGGCAAAATGGCCAAACTGGCCCTCAAAACGGTGTCTCCTTGCGCTTGGAGATGTACTCCTTCAGCTGGGGCAAAGCATCCGTCGCCTCCAGGGCGGCCTTCAACTTGGGGCAGTTCTGGAAGGCCGCCTTCGCACCCTCCGCGTTGTCAAAGAAGCAACCTGCAAAAAATGGGCTCGTGACCTACCTCCACCTGGCTGACACTCCATGGGACTGCCATATAAGCCACCTGGAGCCACATGGCTCGTGACCCACCTCGCAGTCCACAACCCTCGTGCCCGACCCGACGTGCCCATGACTGTCGCGCCCGTGTTGGGTCGGTCGACGGAGCAGTCACTAAGGAGTTGGGGATTTTGGGGCGGTCCAGGTCCCCTGGCCTGGTGTGATGGGGATGAAGAACTGTTCTACATGTTTGCAGATGTTTGCAGTAGATTTCTTGGCAAACAGGGCGAGCGACTGGAGATATCCAAATCTTGTAAAACCAACCTTCAGG